ACAGCAAGTAAGTAAACATTTAATTCAGTTCAGTTCAATTCAATTCAAAAAACTTTATTTGTCCCCGGGGGGCAATTCAAAGGCGCACAGAGCAGTAAATTAACAACAGTGCAAGTAGACGAAACATTTAAAGGTGACATATTATGTACAATACACTTTACCATGTTTCTCTAACACTAATATGAGTCCCTAGTCTGTCTACAAATGAGAAAAGTCCATCATCTCTGTCTTTTGCCTGCTCCACTTTTCTGAAAATGTGTGCTCAAACAGGCCGTTGGGAGATTTTCCCTTCATGACATCACAAAGGGCAGTAACCCCTCCCTCAGGTGGGTGATACTCCCACAGCTAGGCGTTTGTTCTGCTCCTCTGAGTCTGCCTTCTCACCGCAAACAATAGAACATGGAGCGAGAAAGCCCGACACACCCAAGCCCTTCGAGAGAGGGGCGTGGTCAGACACAACTCATTTACATTTAAAGGTACAGACACAGAAACAGCATGTTCTGAGCAGGGCTGAAATAGAGGGGTTTATAGACATGATCAAATACAGGATCAGAGTGGATTTAGAACAAGAAACTTCACAGACATGTTTTGGGGAGCTCTGAGACTTATTTAAACTGGTTTAAAAGGAGGATAATACATGTGACCTTTACTGATAAAGCATATTAGATAACATAATTTACAAAGTGCTTGACATTTAATATATATATTTTTTATCTTACAAAAAGTCTACTAGAATCGAGACTGACTGTGCTACACAATCGTAGAATAAGGATCAACAACAGCACTCTTTCTGTCAAGGAACTTACATGTCATAGAACATAAAATCTGTTTTAATCAAGTTTACAAAACAGCACTATTTATTATATAAAAGTAATATAAGATCAAATGTAAAACACAAAATTAGCAACGGAGGATTGCTATAGCTGGGCAGTGGGCACGTATATTAGCCCAGAATAATCATGACATTTTCATAGAGTTGTTATTGCCGTGGACGATTAGGGCTGTAACTAACAATAATAGTCTTTGACGATGATCTGTGTCCCTTATTTTCTAAATCGTTTAGCTTTTAAAATGTCATAGGAAAGTACAAAACGCTCCTTCTTTCCTACAAGCCAGAGAGGATGTTTTCAAATGTCACATGAACCATTCAAAACCCCAAATATTTTCAAGAGACGTTAGGGTAAGGTAAAGGGGGAGATATTAACATGAAGCTGCGTCCAACCACTCTGGCAAATGTAAATATCAGTATTGATCAAATTTCTTGTAGTTGACTGACTGATTCCAAACGTTATGCACCTAAAGCTCACATTTGTAATATAGCAATAAGTAAGGTCTTTTATCTGCTTTTTGTAACATAACAATGAGTAAGGTCTTTTTACCTGCTCTTTCGTAATGTTAACAGACAAAGAGTAAGGTATTTTACCTGCTTTTTGTAAAGTGTCTCGAGATAACACTTGTTATGAGTTGACGCTATACAAATAAAAATTGATTGATTGATTTTAAAGGAAGAATGTGCAACTGTTTGATCCAGTAGAGGTCACCCTTGAGTACCAGCATGAAACCAAAACAAACTGCTGTTTGGTGACACCTCTCCTCCAGTGACACACCTCCAACACCTCTCCACTCGAGTTTGCACAAAGGAGTTCTCAATTAGAACACATCATAATTAAGAACCATTAAGCACAAGAGGCGGACAAAATAGTCCTTTGCTCAAGCTGCATCACCTGTGTCCTGCATTGTTGTGTTAGCGGGCTAATGTTAGCAAACTTTGGTTAGCTCATAGCTTCATATTGCACATAATCTGACTCAGAATGACCGTGATCTAAACACCCAAATAAGCAGTGAGTAGGTTCTTCTTCTTTTCTCTAGACCAACACGAAAACAGCTTTATACACAAGGCCATCTTGTCCATGTAAACACGGCTCTGACAACAACACAGCCAGCGGGACTCGAGCTTCTCCCCTCATTGTAGACAGTCATAACTCAGAGAGACATTTACACAGGATATACTTGATTTCTGCTTTATTTATGTGTAAAATGTTGCACATTCTTCCTCTAACCAAAATACAGTATGTTGAGCTTAAGGATCCACTGACCGTTCAGCAACATTATGATCCTGTAGTTCGAGAGGCAAGAGTCACATCTAACTGTATTATAACCATTTTTTGTTGGACTCCAGGAAGAGACAATTTAACAACAAGGCGTACAACAGACATGAAACTGCACAAAAAGAGAGGACTTCTGAGTTTGGGTAGACAGATTGCTGTTTATTCTTGCTGCCTGCTGGATATTAATAGAGAAAGTAGAAAGGGTTGTAGAGTGGATGCTATCCACAGGGGAGAAAGAATACAGTATGTCATCTCCAGCTCTTTTATAAAAGATGAGAGAAGGAAAATGACTCTGCTGTCTTTTTTTTTTTTTTTTTAAGAGTTTCAGACAAAAGCAGTTGATTTAAATCAGAACTTATATTCCTGTCGTGCTCTCAAGCATCATTACCCAACCTGTGTGATTCCTCGCCGGCCTGGCTGTGTTCATTGCAGGCTTTTTTTCTTTCTTTCTTTTTTATAACAGGGCTGGTTTATAGCCCTTCTGCTCGTCGGGGTCTGGCCTCCTAAACTACGGTTGTAAATGGCTAACAAGTAAGGCTGACTGACAGAGAGATGGGAGTTAGATGGATGGCCGCTGCTTAACATAGCTGGCCTTGAGCTTTATGAAAGCTTCTGAACTAGCCATGACCGGAGGCCGCGGATGTTTTGCTGTGTGCTGGCTGATGTACTGTAGCTCTTTCATTCTTCTAATTAATTATACAGAGAAAAAGTCCTCGACATCAGTTTACATCTCTACTTAAGGGCCTTAACATTTTTCTATAATCTATTAATTAAACTTACTCAGTATGAATATATCCTCTACAAAATTTGCTCTTGAAAATCTTTACCGGGTCCATTACTCAGAAAATTGCTATTTTTATACGTTATGTTTGGGTTTGAAAGTAAACTCTCTACAGGATAAATTAAGGACACAAGGGGACTTAATGAGTACCCTCATACCCTGGTCATATTTGTATTATTTGAAACCTGCAAACTCAAACAGCTGAACGGTTTACTACAGGCGGAGGAATACGTATGTGTTGCATCTCAAGTAATACGCTGCAAAGTTTTTAAAAAAGTTTTCTGGGCTTAAAGTTAGTTTTTTCTTAAAATAAGCAAAACTAAAATTTTAAAACTGTCCCCATCTGCAGCAATGTGGAGCCTTACTGCTGATACTTAGAGGCCGAGCTGACCAGCAACTCATCAGCATTTTAAGGGCGGCAGTAGCTCAGTCTCAGTCCGGTTAGGAACCGGAGTGTCCCAGATTCAAGTCACAGTGTGGACCAAAGTATGAATGTTGGTCTGGTTGCTGGAGAGGTACCAGGTCTGCCGCTGAACAGCTCTGGAGCGCTCCCTGTGTAGCAGCCCCACTCTGACATCTCTAAATGAATGCATGTCCGCAGTATAAACCACAATTTCCCTTTGGGGATTAAAAAAGTATGTAAAATAAAACCACACACTTAAAAAAAACAAAAAAAACAACGAACTATCCCTTGAAAATATTTCTATATTCATATCTTGGTGATGATTCTTGTAGCTGATTACGTCAACTCAGTCCTGGCTCGTAGTTACAAACAAACCATTTAGTATAAAAAGACCCTGAGCTGTCCTGAAGTGTTGCATAAACAAAGCGCTCTATTCACTCAGTGCGTCCTTAACGCTCCATGCCTAGAGATGATGCTGCGATCCCCACGGGTAGAAATTGTAGTCCTGGTCTCTGTTCTTCTACACAACGAAGGCTTCCCAGCAGCTCTATATGATTGTTAAAGACACTGACCTCTACCTTGCTGTCGTAGTAGTAGTAACCATATTTAAAATTCAGACACTGTTTCTGTTCTTCTTCACCTCTTTAATTTTCCCTCTTGAGAGCATTCACTTTTAAAACAAGGTTACTGCAACTGACCTTTAGCAAGATGTGCAAGTTCTCAAGTCTTGAGTGTTTTCATTTCTTCTGTGAAAATATCAGCGCAAGGTTGCAAAGTAATTTGCAAGTAGCCCTCAGCATTTGAACATTGTCGTATTGTCACAGCCTCACTGTTGCCAGGGCATCAAGGGAGTTGTCAATCAAAGAGCAGTGAAATATTGTCACATGAATTACCTAACTGTGATGGTCATGTGCATTTTTGTTTTTTTCTGTCTGCAGAAAATGAATGTACAAGTGCTCACAGAGACTGTTTGTTTATTGGAAAGCTGCTAAACAAGCAGTAGAGTGGAAAAAAGAGGATTGTTTAAAGATTCAACCCTAATGAAGTGAATCGTACTCGGGAACGGTTTGAAACATTCGTGCCTAATGTGAAAACGCCCTGAAAGTAAATGTCTGACTGTAGTTTGAAGTCATTTTATTATAGGAGCTCCAAAGACTCTCCAGTAAACCACACATTTTTGTGCAACTTCATATCAACCTACTACGTGTCTTCAAATACAGCCCCCTTAGTCAACAACGTTAATATTTAAAGATTTTTAGATTTTTCATTCTTGCCTGTGTTAAGAAGCTGTCATCGGTTTAAGGCAGCACTGCTTCACTCCACTATAAAAACAAACACCCTGTTGCTTTCCTGAAGGGCAGACTAGTCGATGTTTTAATGATGGGTACACTGTGTGGGAGTCTGAGTTGTTAAAAAATGTATGTATCTTCATTCCACCCGTAGATTTTTAGAATATTTTGGGCAGCTTTGCTAACCCGTTGATACAAACACTGTGGGAGAAGAGATGAAGCAAAACCACAATCTGTGCTGGTGGTACACAAATCCCCCAGAGGAGCATAAGACAGTTTAGGGAAAGAGACCCTTAAATTGATTGACAGTGGCGCAGATTAATGTTTGGATTTGAATTGGATCTGAATGGTACAAAACCAAAAGAGCATTCACATTGATAAATTAGCCAGTCTAATGTGTTGGTCTTTTGTTTTCCCAGAATGCCGAGGTGTCTGTGTTTGAGGTCAACATTCGTTTCATAGGAGGACTGCTGGCCGCCTACTACCTCTCTGGACAGGAAGTAAGTACTCACCTGTATGTGTGTGTGTTTGTGTGTCTCCAAATAACAACACGAGCTGATGTCACTCTTTTCCTTAACTCCCCCCCTCCCACCCAAATCAAACTCAGTCATTCATGAGATCTTGCACAAGTGATTATAGAAGCAGGGGGTTGGTTTGGGAAGGAGGGAGACGGAACACGGAGGTGATGGAGGGAGAGGAGAGGGTGGAGGAACGGCTGTGACGGGACAGTGACGATGAGTGGAGGGTGTGTGAAGGTGGTGCTCACAGATAAAGAGATGGGAGTGGAGAATGAGGATGATGAATGGCCGAGGGGGTTGAAAGAGCAAGCGAGACTCATTCTTCACTCCCAGTGGACGCGTCCTTGAGCAAGGCACTTAACCCCTCATCTGCTCCTGTCAACAAAACAGCAGGATAAATTATTGTTTCCGGGCTGCTTCATTGGGAAAATGTGTTTTTTTTTTATATCTGCTTGAATATGATACAGCGTCCCTCCTGGCACTGACGGAAAAGAAAAACAATGACAAGAAGAGAGAGTGTGGGGGTGGGGGGTGGGGGGACATGAGCTGCAAAGGAAGGGTGAGGTACGACCTGTGAAAAAGAGAAGGGAGAGCGTGGTAGGTGGAGACTAGAGTCAAGAAGCAGAGCTGAATAAAGAAATTAGTACTGAGACAACATGAAACAGGGAAGTAGATGAGACAGACAACATAAAAGGGAAATGAACATTGAAGAGAGAAGTCAACAACGGTTTCAAAAGAGCAGGCTGCGATACATAAACAGAGTTTCAAAGATGAATTGATTTATGGGTGAAACAAAGGCAGCCAAAAAGAAATAAACGCAAGAGAGCTGAAACACAAGCATGAGGATAAAGACACATTATTGCAAAGACAAAAAGCAGCTTTATACGTTTCCGAAGTTGTGTGAAACGATCTAACTGATCAGGAAAAGGATCCGAAGGCCACCTCATGAAGTTCTCTTGTCATTTGATGCCTTTTGAGGAAGACACACTCGTCAAACATAAAGACTAAGGAGGACATCAATTGAAAGAAAAGCGAGATACGAGTCCAAATACAAGGAGGAAGTACAGACAGAGCAACAGATACACAGAAAAAACAGAGAGGAGTTAAAGTTTAGCATCAGTATTCAGGAGGAGGACGTGTTGGTCAGCAATGATGGATCGTGTTTACTTCTCTGTCTCTCCCCAGCTCTTTTTCTTTTTCTCTCTCCTTCTCCTCTCTTTTTTGTTTAATCTCTTTTGTCCTCATGCCTCTGCTTTTTTCTAAATTCCCTTCTTTTCTTCTCATTGCCTCCCCCTTTCCCTTTTTGTCTCATTTTGAGCCTCCTCACCTGTTCTTCCCTCTTTCTCTTTTTCTGTCTTTTCCTTTAGCTAAGAGGCATTTCAGTCGTTCCAATATATCCCCCCCCTCTTCCATTCATTTCCCTCTTTCCTGTTCTCCTCTGATTGCTGCATTAGGTTTTGATTCTTTCAAGAAACTCAAAACGTCTCCCCAACATTTTCTTCCACTCCCTGCTTTCATGTGCTTTCCTCATCTTCTACTTCTTGCCCAGTCTCCTATCCTGTTTCCCCTCTTCACTTGTCCCTCTCGCCTTCATTTCCCTCACTAGATTTGTCCCTGCATTGACCTCCTAAATCCTTTACCTCCTTTAATCTCAAACCAGTTAAAGGACCTCCTTGGTGTGTTGATCCCTTCTTTCTTTTCCTCTGCCTTCCCCCTTTATTCCTCAGGAGCTCTATCCTTGTTTGTCCTTTTCCCTTTCTGTGCCTTTAATCACTGCCTTGTTTCTCGTGAGCTAGTTAGCCTCCAATCAAGGCGACCTTGAAGATAACTTTTCCCCTTCTATGTGCAGTGATTAAAGAACCTACACAGCCATCAGCCTTGTAGAGAAAGTAGACAAGCAACACAGAAAAACAGGTCCAACATAAAAAAGACTATATAATCATACCCAAAGTTTTGTCTGCATTTCTTTCCCCTCCTGCAGCTCTTTCTGTATGTGTGGCTCTTTGTCTCTTCTGGAGGATGTTCTGCAGTTACCTGCACCTCATTAGCACACTGCTGTGTTTGCCTGAGCGCTGAAATTTAGAAGGCAAAGTCACAGTTTTCTTGGCTTGACAAACACGTCTCTGGATTCTCACACAAACAAATGGGACGGTGAAACACAGAGGATGGTTGCAGTGTGTCCTGTGTACAGAGATGCATATAAAAGGATGATTATTGAGGGGAAAAAAGCAGTGTTTCACTCTGATGTCCAAGTACAGAGGTGTCCATCGCTGCATTCCTGCTGCAGTTCAAGTTTTCCTTCATGGCTGACCCAATTAAATAAATGAAACAACAGAGAAACTACCACAGTAACCCTTGTGTCAATTTAAAAGTACACTCCGATATTTCGGGAACTATTCTCGTTCACTGTCTTACGGGCAGTTAGATAAAAGATGAATAACCTCTGGATTTGGTTTTGGAGAAAGATCTGCTGGTTCACTTATCAGAACATCAGCAGTTTCATCCCAGGCTCTCAAAGTCTGCTCGTGTTTTTGTCTGAAGGCAGCAAAATCGTTATTTAAGTGCAATCCATGAGCCGTTTTATGCCTTTTTTGCATTCCGAGTGTAGCTAAAAACGGTAACCCTTCGTTGGGTTTTGACAGTTTGTGTTCCTGAAAACACACTGTCTCCATCGTTGTGTCAAACTGGCGACATGCAGTCCCTCTGAAGACGGAGACATTTTGCACATGCTTATTACAGTTCCAGACTAAAGCCATGCGTGAGTAAATGGACTACAACAACAATGGCGGACTCCAGAGTTCTGTTTGTGAAAATGTCGACTTGCATGACTCCCAGAAGACATTTTCCTTGAAACTTGCTCGCTTTATTGTTTAGGGTGATTTAAGAGTAGCAACCCCACCTCTTGTTCCGTCCACACAAATGTTTGTGGGTTAGCTATTTTTGTATGTTTACACCTCACCGCTCGGTAGAAGGCAACAGTATTTGTGCATTCAAGTGTTGTTTCATAACAGAGTCAGACCACCAACTACTGGCCTGCCATGTATAGTTCAGCTTTTTCAGTAGTTTTTGCAGAGCCATGTGCACAGTGGTTGTCATCTGAATGCTGAACTTTCTTTATTTGATGGTTTTTTTTTTGGAAATGTGGCCTTGATCTCCACACAGGAATACAGCGGATCCTGAACTCAACCAGCCTAGCTTAGCAACAAAAGGAAGCAACATCTTCCCTCTCAAAAATGAAACAGTCCGCATTGTGACGACTCCAAAGCTGTGATCATTTACAGTATGCTTTGTTGTTTAAAATGTTTAAGCAGAAAGTTCAGCGTTGTGCTTCAGCAGCTGTCAGCCCGCATATTAAAGGAAAAGAACAAGGCTGAACTCATCTGATCAAGAGTGCTAAACTTCCATTTCCTGAAATATAAAACTAAAAATACTTTAAAAGGGTCTCAGACCTGAATGATTGGCAAACTCAGTTTATCTCTGCTCCATTCTGAGCACAACAGTTTGCAAGGAATACAGAGAGGGCGTGTGTAGCCAGTGTATGCACACATGGGATCATTTATACAAAGCATCTCCGGTTAAAAAAAGGCAAATAAAGTGCTCAGAATGCAGCATCATCCCAGACTCTCACTCTCGTCAGAATTGAGCATTCATGTTAACATTTTGGAAATATGTGACGGTGCTGACATCACTGATAAATTCAACAAACTATTTTTAGAAATTTGAAACCATTTCAACATGAACCTTTTCCTTCCTTGTGCTCAAACCTTCTCTCTGTGGATGTCAAATTTTGATTTGCTTTGTTGACAACATATTTTAATGAAAATGTTCTACTATAAGACTGGTCGAGAGTTTGTTGAAGTGCACGTTTAATGACATTTTGCTCCACTTCTAGAAGACTTGCACCTTGCCCAAACACATTTACTTCTTCAGTCCAGAGCCTCCAGCATCAATGTTTTCATTAGAAGAGCTATTTACTGGAGAATCAAATTTAATAGCGGCTTAATTATCGAACAAAGTGCTTTTAACTCGCTCATTAAGATAGCCTCTTAAATTAGCAGGCTCCTGGTCAATGACTTTACACTTTATTCTCAATGTGCCCTGGTTTCGACACCCCCATTGTTGAAAGTTTTCCTCTCCTGGCTCACATACATTATGCATGTGAGGAGGAAAAACAACTCTCTCCGTGTTGCTGCAAACTAAAAAAAAAAGACTAGAGGGACCGGGAACAACAGGGGACGATTTGAGCGAGGAACGGCAGATTGCACGGAGAAGGGAGAAGGTCAGGGGAGCCAGCCGAGCCCTATAATGTAGGATAATGAGATGAGAGGGACTAAAAGAAAAGCTGCAGACTCTGCAGGCATAAACGCAGCGGCAAAACCACCCTGTGGATGTAGAGAGAGACGGCGGGAGGAAGATAAAGAGACGCAGAATGACAGAAATGGAACAGAAAATTCAGGGACGGTGGTGGAAAGACAGAGAGGAACGGAGATAATGATGGTGATAGAAGAAAAGGCCGGTAGGAAGGGAGGGAATTATACAGAGATGAGATGGAACAGAGCAAAGGATTTAAAGGGTCACAAAAAAAGTGAGTTTGGGGATGCAATGACAGAAGACATAAAGAGTTGTGATAAAAAGAGAAAAATACAAATTTGTTGACAAGCTTTTTGTATCTGCCGCCAAGAATAATGATTTCTAACCTCTCCCTGAAGACCTCCTGTATTTTCTGATTCCTGTCAGTTTTCCTCTTCTTGTTTCTTTCGGTTTGTGTTTTCAATTACACCTTTTTCTACCTCCTTTGCTTTTACTCTCCTCCTGTCCTGATGCTAGCAGTCAGTCGTCCTGGGATCGGTGACTACAGACTGCACTGTCTGATCTCAACAGGGAACATTTGATTCACTCTTATCTTTTTTTTGTCAAACACTGAACCTGTCAAACAAATGCAGGGTAACATCTCTGACTGACTGGCTGCCATTACTCCTGCC